ATAGATGTCTATGGGTCACAGCAACCACTTACCATCAGGTTTACTGTGTGCTCGTTTGTCACCCGAATCCTATAAAAAATATTACTATGTACGATTGTGAATCGTTAATGTTATTGCAGTTTTTATGTCATCTGGTAATCTGCCGAGTTCCATCAAACAATAGCGTTTTTGTCGTACTTCTTGCAGTCATTAGTCGAAGTTTAGTTTAATTTCTTATGTTGTGTTATTTCATATTTCACATGTAATACTTTAGATAGATAGATCGTGACACTTGGCGATCTGTTCTCTCTGGCTACCCCGTCAGGGATTGTGCGTGAAGATAAGTAAGTAAGTAAGTAAGTAAGTAATACTTTAGAGTATGAAATATGTCAAGTAACAAATAAAGTTACTGCTTTTATACGTGTCACATCTGGGCACAGATCTCTCATTTCCCAAAGGGATTAAGGTCAAGGAAGTGACCGCCGCGTCGCTCGTACACGTTAGTTAGTAAGCTTCACTACACCTCTTTACTACACGTGTGAAACGTCAAAAGATAAACAGGAGTCGGAAGTCTGCCATGTTTGAAAACACGTGCATGCGAACTTATTGTTTTCCGACCACGACGTTTGCAACGGTTATCTCATTACAAGGAAACCGCAAGTGTTGTATCTAAACAACGGCGGTGACTCAATTAGATTGTGATGTCGCGGGTGGGCGTCCCTACAAACCGATTATGATATTATAATTCATATAAATATATATATAGAGTGCTAAGAATTATAATCGATTTGAATATCATATGAGTGGAAGTCTTTTAAAGTTTTTAAACGTGTTAGAGAGCCACGCTGCAGCACTATTATGGTTGTGGCACGAATGGGTTGTCTCGAGCGTGGAAGGACCACGGTCTCACAGAATACCAGCGTAAAATAGCAGCTTAATGATGCTGTGTTCTGTATGGTGAGTGTGGACTGTAGAGACCCGGAGCCCCTTTTTACTAGAAAAGAGGCATTCCATCTTAGTCCTCAGGGGTGACAACGCATCTGCATTTTTATTCTCAATTGAGGATAAATGTAAATGTCTATGATGTTTTATTTATTACTTACAATCTCATATACACACATACAAAACTAAAACATGCTGATGCGTTGTCACTTTTGAGAACTAAGATGGAATGCCTCGTTTCCAGTAAAATGGGCTATTTTACGCTGGTGCTCTGTGAAAGCGTGGTCCTTACCCGGTCGAGCCGACCCATTCGTGCTACAACTATACTACTAATATAGCTGCAGCGTGGCTCTACCACATGTAATCACATAATATTAAAACTAAAACTCTTTTATTACAACTTACAAGTGTCATCTACTACTGTCATTACGTGTTTTGTTAAACTGATTCAGACTATTCCATCATTACAGCCTATAAAAGTCCACCGCTGAACAATACGACTCCCATTGATTTCCTCGTAGGCATGATTTTGCTACAGTTGCCACGTTCGGCAACTGTAGTAGTTTTTCATTATTTTAAATTATAATCGGGAAGATACTGTTGATCTTGTTTGTTTCCCTCTGTCGCTTCTGACGACACCAACGGCACAATGTTTTAATGGACATTTTTACACCGTTAATACACGGTTATATCGTGCAACAAGTAGAGGTAATCATAAGACGACCTAAAATATTTATACCAAGTATAGCAAGGAACCGTTCAGTCAATCGAACCAGCTTTCGAATTAAAAATAAAGTATTAAGATTAAAAATACGGTTTAAAAGTTATAAAACCGCTCTTGCGTCGCGTGCTAAAAATAATATGACAGTGAACTGTATGTTGGCCAAGTCAATCTATTTATTTAAAACATAAAATATTTTTAATATTGACATGGTCACTATAAGATGCAGTTAGGTTAGCTAATTACATAATAACTTGAGACAGAAGGACCCTTAAGTAGGTACTGAATAAATTAACCGACTTGGTATTACATGGATCTCACAAATTTTTACGGTAAAAGAACTTAGTTGCGAGACTTGGTTTTTTTACAAGTTATGTTTTTGATGGCATCATTATTGTCTAGAAATGACGGATCCATGGCGCAGTGACTTAGCAATTAGATGCGGCGCTTAAGGCCGCGGGTTCGAATCGCGTACGAAGCAAGTAGGTATTTGTATTGTCTACAAATAATTGTTCCGGGTCTGGATGGTTGTCCTGGATGATGTTAACGCTGCTGTGTTTCGTATGGTGTGTGTAGAGCACCGGAGACCCTTTTTACTGGAAAAGAGACATTCCATCTTAGTCCTCACGGGTGACAACGCATCTACATTTTGATTCGCAAACGAGGATAGTTGTAGATGTCTACGAGCCACAACAACCACTTACCATTAGGTGGACTGTGTGCTCGTTTGTCACCTTATCCTATAAAAAAAAATTAATAGTTAATAATAATTCCGTGTTGTGGCGGTGTAAGAATATCCACTACCCCATGTTATCCCGTGGGTTTCGTAAGAGGCGGTAGAGAGAAAAGAAACGCACGGGCAACAACAGCATCTTCCTGGTAATAACTGTTCGCATTATGAAAAAAAATTTCCCTCTATGAGGCAATTTATGGGCGAGGCTTACGTTCAGCAGTGGACTGGGATAGGATATAATCAATTTATAAATGTAAAAATTTAAAGTTACAGCCTATATACGTCCAGAGGGCACAGGCCTCCTCTCATTTCTGAGAGGGTTTTAGGGCAAGGACATGCAGGTTCCTTCACGATGTTTTCCTTCACCACCGAGAACGTGGTTAAAATGAGCACTTAAAATTGCAATTAACAATTTCATTGGTGCCGGCGGGGATCGAACTCGGGTTGCTTGCGTACTGTGAAATTATTACAGCGAGCTCTTAGCCGCCGAGCCACTACGGCTACTATTGAGCTAATTAATGAATGAAGACATGTACTCAATTTATGAAGTACTCAGCTATCTCTCGGTTTTAAAGTTCATAGTATGATAATAACATAATATCAGTGTACAATAATTGAAGAAACATTTAGTGGGCCAACTTTTCTTTCTACCGTCTTCCATAACTACTTCAGTGCTACTAGAACAATGTTAGTTTCTATAATCTATTGTGCTGATTGCAATGAGGGCTAATTGCTTACGCTCACCAGATGTCGCTAGTTGGGACTAAGGTGAACTTATTTGTTACGCAGGTCACACAGTGTCATCATCATTGAAATGTTGCGATTTAAGTACGAGTTTTTGGTTACTATTGTATGTATAATTTGTTTAGACATTTTTTTAATTGGCTTATACATTTGTAATCTAACTCATATAAAATATAACTGATATTTCAGAAAGGAAACATTACTACACTTTTCTAACAAATTAACTTCCCCCGCTATGAAACCTGTCAAATATTTCACCTCATTCCGAAGTGGCGCCGCCCTGGTGGCAGAAAAAGTCGTGTCAGTCCTCATTGGAAGTCTTGTCACGCCACTGCTGATTAACCTATTGTAACGGCCTCGCCTTATATGTATACTTGTATTGCGACTACTTGACACGTGTTGATAAAATCAAAAGTAGGTAATAATGTTAACCTAATTCATCCTTTTATGATTTATTTATTTTAGATTCGATTTATGTAGTTTTATGGTTCTTTTCCTTATTTTTTTACATGATACATATTCTCTTAATGTTGGTCTTATACAGGTTAGAGAATTACAGGATAGTAACAAATCTCGGGATACGTATTGATAAATCTAGGCCTGACTTGGTTGAGAAGTCTGACTTTTAAATGGATAATTAGTTTTTTTTTATATGTTTGTATAATTTCGTTTTAAGGTTTTGAGGAATGTCTGACGAGAAGATGTGTCGTAGTTTCCCGAACGCTGCCCAGCCAAGTTGAATCCGTCGATTGACCTCTCGGTCGAAGTTGGACTTACCTAGTCGGACTATTTGTCCCAGGTAAACATACTCGTCAACAACTTCGAGCTTAGTGCTCCCAACAACTATCGACATAGGTGTGACATGGACATTGAACATGATCTTTGTTTTGTCCATGTTCATCTTAAGACCTATCCGTTGGGAGACACTATTGAGGTCATTGAGCATGGTGCTTAGATCCTCCAGCGATTCTGCCATAAGGACTATATCGTCGGCAAATCGAAGGTGAGTGATGTACTCGCCATTGATGTTAATACCGTATCCTTTCCAGTCCAGAAGCTTGAAAACGTCTTCCAATGCAGCGGTGAAGAGTTTCGGGGATAAAACGTCACCCTGTCTTACACCTCTCTGCAATTGGATAGGTTTCGTACTCTGTTTCTATACTCGGATAGCCATCGTAGCCCTACTGTACAAGTACTTCAGCACTTCGATATACCGACAGTCAACTCGGCACCGCTGAAGGGACTGCAGCACCTTCAGCGAATACCGTTTGGTGATTCTGAGTATAAGGTACGCAACCCTCGTCGACACACTCTCGATCTTAACAACGTTGATAACGAGAGACTTGTGGACGATAAATCCGACACCTCCTTGGGACAGATGGTCGCCTTCCCGGTGATAGAGCAAGTTGCCGGATTCGAGGATTACCGTGTCCTCCCCCTCTCTTCGGACTTCGGATAATGCAGCTCACGGACACAACAACCAACTTCAAACAAAGAAGCCTGCAGATGCGTTGTCATCTCTGAGGACTAAGATGGAATACCTCACAGCCTGTCACATGGATAGCCCATAACCTTTTCGACAGGAACACAGTTTGCTTACTGAAAAATATGTATATGAGTTAGATACAGTTCTTGCATTACGCGAAGTCGAGCGGGCTTTACTTGTGGTAAACCCGTATCTATATATACGTGTCAAAGTGTGCGTGAGACCAAAAGTGGGTATCGTTAGCGACAGCAGACATGCACACTATTGCAATGTGCATGTACACGTTCAACCACGAGTAAGGCAGTTAAGAGGACGGTAAAGGAGTCCTACCCACCATCAAGTAAAGGCTATATAGTAGTATTTGCGTATATATATTGATTATTTTGTGATTGTAGTGGTGAAGCAGCGGCTGCAGATGCTGAACTCGCCGTACCGCAGCGTGTGGGATTGCGCGCGCCGCGTGTACCGAGCAGAGGGCCTGCGCGCCTTCTACCGCTCCTACGGCACACAGGTCGCCATGAACGTACCCTTTCAGGTCAGTCCTTATCCTTACTATGTTCATAATCTTCTTCCTCTTCATTAACTAGAACTTGGGCCTCCATCTATCCCATGGAGGATTTGTTTTAAGCTTTACGCTCGGCATCTTTGACGCTGCGTCGTCATTTGGGTATTTTATGGTTTTTTTTTATGGAATAAGGGTGACAAACGAGCACACAGTCCACCTGATGGTAAGTAGATGCTGTGGCTCATAGACATCTACATTTTTCCTCGATTAAGAATCAAAATGAAGATACGTTATCAGCCCTGAGGGCTAAGATAAAAGAGTCTCCGGTTTTCTGTACGGTTCCGGTTTTCGGTACGAAACACAGCAGCATTAAGTTGCTATTTTCCTCGGTCGAGTCGATCCATTCGTGGTACAACTGTAATATAGCTGCAACGTGGCTCTACCACGTATAAAACGTCTGACGGTAACAAGATTGTATATCGTCATTTAGCAGAAGACAAGGCTTTTAAGAAGAAATGGGTGGATAGATTCCGCCAGCACACGTTACACATGTATATTTTTTAATATTGTTATCAAAAAATTAATTTATTATTTCTTTTATTTCATTTATTTCCATCACCGTTACAGAAGACCGAAAGGTGTTCTTAAAGATTGCACTGACTAAAAATAGGTTTTTGTACACTGTGTACTATAGTAAGAAACGATTTAAGTTATTCAGACTTGAAATAGTTGTTTTAGTAACGACAACATCTAAAGAATAGCTAGAGTTGAAGATTACGACCTGCTGTCGTTCCTGTTCTGGATTATTGCACTGTTCCGAGCGTATCTAGTTCTATCGGTTAACTTGGAGTAGTGGTAATGTTAGTTGGTAGTATACTTTGAGGAACGTGAATAGAAGCCTTAGGAAGTGTTTTGGTTTAACCTACTGTTTTGAGCGTGTTCTAGTGGTTAATTAGTAATATAAAAGTTGTTAGCATAGGTTAAGGAACTTAAATAGTGTTGATTTGAAGAGTGTTTTGGGCGTATATAGTTCTAGTGGTTAAAGTAATGTTTATCATTAGCATCATTATCATTACAGCCCTTCACAAGTTTACTGTTGAACGGTCTACTTTTACAAGTAACGTTACAAAGCACGGTCGTGAGCTATTTATATCTATCGACTTTCTGCTACTAATGTTACTGGGTAGTATACTCCAAGGAACGTGAATAGTGTTGCCTTGGGGAGTGTTCTAAGCGTATCTAGTTCTAGTGTTTATCGAGAATACTACTAATTTTAGTTGATATATGTTTTTTTTATAGAATAAGGGTGACAAACTAGAATATAGTCCATCTGATGATAAGTGGTTGTTTGTGCCCCATAGACATCTAGATCTATATTCCTTTGCGAATTAAAATGCAGAAGCGTTGTCAGCCGTGAGGACTAAGAATGTCTCTTTTCCAGTAAAAAATGGTCTCCGGTTCTCTACCCTCACCATATGAAACACAGCTTTTTTACGCGGGTATTCTGTGAGAGCGTGGTCCTCCCTCGATCGAGCCGACTCATTTGTACTACAACTATATTATTAATACAGCTGCAGCATGGCTCTACCACGTAAAAATACGTATAGGATAGGATAGGGTTGACGTGGGAGTGTTGCGCAGGCGGTGCACTTCGTGACGTACGAGTGGTGCCAGTCGCGGCTGAACCCGGTGCGCGCGTACGAGCCGGCGGCGCACCTGGCGGCGGGCGCGTGCGCGGGCGCGCTGGCGGCGGCGGCCACCACGCCGCTGGACGTGTGCAAGACGGCGCTCAACACGCAGGAGGCCAGCGCCGACGGGCTGGCGCAGGCGGCGGCGCTGGTGCTGCGCACGGCGGGCGCGCGCGGCTTCTTCCGCGGCCTGCACGCGCGCGTGCTCTACCAGATGCCCGCCGCCGCCATCTGCTGGCTCACCTACGAGACCTTCAAGCACGCGCTCGCCAAGGTACGTCGTTTTATCCACGGAGAAATGCCTATACGTACCCGCCTCGCGGTCCGACTAAAACCCCAGGTTCCACCTTCGCCGTATATTATCAAAGCCACGAGAACGCTTTCGCCGAGGTACACCTACACCACGCATGAATCAGACGCATGCGTTGGATTACTTCCCTATAATCTAAAATAACTAACAGTCCTGTTTTGTGGGTAGATGGTAAAATAAAATATATCAACAACCTTACAAACTGTTTCTCTAAATTACTTACTCATAACAACCTTTATTGTCTGTAATAATCCAACACATACATTAAAGAGCCGCATGCGTTATAAAGATGCACGCGTTATAGAGACGCATTCGTCATAGAAGCGCATTTGTTATAGAGGCTCATTCATTATAGAGACGCATGCATTATAAGGGCACATTCGTTAAAGATACACATGCGTTATACAGACATACGGTTAACACTACACCTGAACACAAATGGCTACTGCACTCATGGACACCTATGACCAACTTGATACTAGTTAGCTACAACTGAGGCATGCACCCGATGAATATCGGTTCTTCCAGTTCTTCAAATATTTAATTGTATCATGATTTCGTATAGTATTCTTCTTTTACTTCTATAACCAGATTGATAAATACTTGTTAATAAGAATTATTTCCTTTTCATTTTTTAAACATTACTTACCTAAACATGAAAATTACCTAAACAGACTGGATTTTTTTTACAAAAATAAATATTTGGTTTCTTTTTTATTTTAACTTTTAGTATTCAAAAGATTTTGTAAATACGAGGGCTGCGCTAAAAGTATCGGAAATGGAATATTTCCACTGTTCCTGTCATATAAATTTTATTTTGAATCGAAAAGTCCTTGATTTTAAAAATCGAATACCATTTATTTATTTAAAAAAAGATTCTCGGTCTTGTCACAAGGTTTTGTCAAACTTGTTTAGTCGTTGAGAAAATGGAATTGACTCGAGAAAATTCAAGAGCGATGATTTATTATGACTTTCGAAGTGGTATAACACAAAAACAGTGTGTTGTCCGGATGATTTCTGCATTTGGTGATGAAGCCCCATCCAAAACCACAATTTATCGCTGGTTTCTTGACTTTAAACGTGGACGTGTCAAGCTCAGTGATGATCCCCGTCAAGGTCGTCGAAAAACTGCAGTCACCCAAGAAAACGTTGATGCTGTGCGTAAGCTGATTGAGGAAGATCGACATGTGACATACCGCGAAATTCAGGCAACTTTAGACATTGGCATAAGTCAAATACAAATAATCTTGCATGAACAATTAGGTGTAAAAAAGTTGTTTTCCCGATGGATACCGCATTCGCTCTGTGAAGAGCAAAAAGCGGCTTGCGTTACTTGGTGCGTCAGAACTCTCGAAAGATTCCACGGAGGATCCTCAAATGCTGTATACCACATCGTATCTGGTGACGAATCCTGGATATACGCGGACGAACCCGAAACAAAAAACCAGTCACGAGTTTGGGTGATCGAAAATGAGTTAAAGCCAACAAAAATTGTTCGTTCACGGAGTGTTGCAAAAAAAATGGTGGCCACGTTTGTCTCCAAAACCGGCCATGTTACGACTATTCTTCTTGAGGGACAAAGAATGGTTAATGCAGAATGGTATGCTAGCATTTGTTTGCCACAGGTCCTTTCTGAACTCCGTAAAGAGAACTGCAAGCGCCGCATCATCCTCCATCACGACAATGCGAGTTCTCACACCGTACACAGAACAAAAGAGTTTTTAGAGCAAGAAAACATAGAATTATTAGACCATCCGCCGTACAGCCCCGACCTAAGCCCTAATGATTTCTATACTTTCCCTAAAATAAAGAATAAATTGCGTGGATAGAGATTTTCATCACACGAAGAAGCTGTGGACGCCTACAAAACGGCCATTTTGGAGACCCTAACTTCCGAATGGAATGGTTGCTTCAATGATTGGTTCCATCGTATGGAAAAATGTGTCAAATTTCGCGGAGAATACTTCGAAAAGCAATAAATACATTTTTAAATAGTAATGTTGTGTCACTTCCTTGATTCCCGAAATTTTCAGTGCCGCCCACGTATTGCGTTTAATTTACTATTTTAATTCCCGACGTTTCGGTGAAGCTGACGTGAAGCACCGACGCTCTGGGAAGTCTGCAGTCTGTGATCATGTTCAAGATCGTCCCCGCCATTACATCAGATTTGATAAACCGTCCTCGCAAAAGAACACCGATACCTATCAAGGATGATACGCGAGGCTATTGAAATTTAAAAAAAAAACATCCTAATTTCAATAGAGAAGATGGATGGGTGCTGCCATCTGCTTGGGATCCTATAATTAACTAAATTAAATCCAAACCCAAGCATACTACTGCAAGATCTGTATTGAGATGCTATCTGTATTGCATAAAAAAGTTTCTGTTTCTGTTTAATTAAATCAATGCACGTCCAGACCTTAACCAAATAACATCTTTTAACTTCCCACGTAATTTAGAGAGCCATAGATAGCCACAACTTATAAATGACGAAATAAATAAACAGGTAGAAAAAAAATACAAAAATGACATAGTTAGACAAGATTACAGATTAGAGTGCACCAGTGTGCCCAGATGCGAAAAAGGTTGATGCAAGTAACGAAAAGAAATATAGACAAGTTATTGATTATATGCGACTTAACGAAATTACAATAGACGACAAATACTCTTTGCCTTAGGACGCAGTTGTTTTATCACCACATTTGACTTAGCTAGTGGCTATCGCCAGATAGAAGTACATATGTGAAAAGAAAAGACAGAAAACATTTTTTTATTACATAGTCATTGCATTATAAGTTCGCATGTATGCCGTTCGGCCTGAAAATTTCACCAGCAACCTTTCAGAGAACCATGGACATAGTTGTTGTAAATGAGAACTTTGGAACTTGAGGAGCAAAGTGTTATGGTTGGTGAGACCTACCAAGATATGCGATCAGCAGAATATTCTGACTGCAGACCAAAGGCAGGTAGAATTTATTTTAAGTATAGAATTTTAAGTTAGTAGACGAGTGAGTTCTGGTAGCAGATAAACATGTCTTAATTAATAAAATTAGTTTTTTTAATGTTCTCCGGCCTCTGCATAATTTTATATTCAAGATGGGCCAAATTAAGAATAGCTTAACCTATAACATGTTTGTGTAACATATATATGTAAAAGAGGATAAAAAAGTAGCAGCATCGTGCTGAATGGAAATTCGTAGACACTGCCTATCTCTCTGGGTGAGAAGCGTGACAGTTTATGTTAAGTTACTCTAAAAGATGATAATATCGGAAAATAAAAATAAAATACCTTTATGAGGTGATACGGCTTTTTTTGCCTAGGACTACCCTCATATCTATTTGTAGGCGCAAATAATAGTGCGTTCACTGCTTTGTTTCTTTGTGATGGGTATAGAGATCTAGTATGATAATATGTGCGTGAGCCTTTGTTGAAGTCGGTTACAGATGTCCATGGGTTGCATTAACCATTTACCATCTGGTGAACTGTTAGTTCGTTTGTCATTTCAGTTATATAAAAATCATTTGTTGTATTTATATGTACATATTCATTCTCACTTTTATTGAACGTCCATAGTAGACAAAGTTCATCTATCCACGTTTTTATTAACTTCCTTTGTGTTTGTTTGTTCTGGTCAAATTTAGTAATTGATTTTAAATTAACTTCCCCGATGAGCTAGGGACAGCTCAGAATCGGATGGGAATGTAAGAATATGAAAAATAAAAACTAAAAAGAAGTGTTATACTTTTAAAAAATTGTGTGTTTCAATCTGGTCCAGACGGAGGGTGTTGGGGAGGATGGAGTGGCGAAAGCGGAACGAAGCAGCTCGAGCGTGAGCAACATGAGCAACATGAGCAACATGAGCAACATGGGCGGAGTGAGCGGCGTGGGCGCGCCGCTGGGCTGCGCGGCGCTGCGGCTGGCGGCCGCCGACGTGCCGCCCGCCGCCACGTAGAGCCGCGCTCGCCACTTGTTGAACATTTTTCTTGTTATACAGTTTACACTATGAAAATATATTTGTTTTTTTTTGTAAATTTACGGTCGCGCCCCCAGCCCGACTCGAACGTTTATAATTTCGGATTCGACGTCTGTGATGTTCTTTTAGTGTTAGAAATCAATTCCGACTCGGCACAAAACTCCACTTTGTGGGCCCCGAGCATCGAAATATCGATCCGACATTTTGTTCACAGGACCTGTTACCGATGTATGAATAATGTAATAAAATAAAATTATGCATCTTTAATAATACAGTGATTAAATAATATTTTTGTTAAACTTGACATATTTTTATTACGGTAACCACACGCGTAAATCTCATCACAAATGTCCATTATGGTAAATACATGATTACGCACCTACACGTGTAGACTGTCTGTCTATCTCACAGTTGTGTTGTTAAAAAGGCAGGTGTCGGTCACATTGGGATCTAATGCATCTGTATATCATAAACGCTGCAATTATGCGTGAACTGTAAAAATTTTATTGTGAAAGACTAGTTTAAATCGTACCATCCGAACTAAAATAATACATTTCCCTTAGCTTCACGTTGCAAACGAGATAGTTTACACGATTTTAGTTTTATAATTAATGATAGCACGCACTTGGATGCTACGATTTGAATGAAGTTTTATTAAATTGAGCCATGATAAGCTTTGACCACATCGTGTTGATCCTCGAGACTTTCGAGGTTTATAAAACCGAAGGGTCGCCGCAAACTGTGAAGCCGCTGTCCGTCGTTTTAAATGTCAAAAAATTAAATTAGCCATGTAAATTGTTAGGCGAGTCGGAGAAAAATCCAGAAATTATTACATTATTTACTTTAGTCACTACAAATGTAAATAGCAGTATGAAATACAAACAAATTATGAGATCCTTCTATATGCGGCTCGATGAGTACAAACTACATTAAGGACCATTTTGGCACGTTTTTATTAATTCGCTTTCGTGTGTCTGTTCAGATCGAATTAAGTAATTGATTTTAAACTAACTTCCCAGTGAAATAGAGACTTGAAATGTTGAACTAAGCTCAGAACTGGATGACAATGGAATATAAGCTCAGTTTCTTGTCTATCTGTTTGTTTGTAGTTTCTCGATCGATCGATTGAATCGACTTTAAAGTGAAATGGCGATGAATTCGAGATTTGAAACATTAAAATATAGTTTAGGACTAGAAACAGTTGACATATATTGGAAAAGTATTTTTACACGCAAAGCGGACGGCGCGCAATTGTGAATAATAGCGGTAGGTGACATTTTGACCGTTGTAGCCAACTATTTCGTATCTAAAGCCGACTTTCAATTCATTAGGAATAAATCAAATCATGTTGACCCGGCTGGAAACCGAAGCGCAGATTTAGAAATTATAATTTGGTTTGATCTTGGTTGGGTGCACACTTTTTGATTCAATTGTAAAAGAGACGTATGTGTATAGAGTTACCGAGATGTAGAAATTGTCCGGGCCTATTGTTAACGAGCGAGCACTTGTCAGTTTTTTTTCTCTCTTTGTAATGGACTCTTACTGTTTAATTTTGCCAGTGTTAAGTAATAAGTAATTATGATTAATAATAATTTGTTTAAAAACTTCACAATACGTTGATGCGTCACATTGTGAAGTTTTTGCGAGATTTCGACGGCAGCTTGAGCCAGCGCACAGTCGATGACGACAGTATCCTAAGGCGCCTAAGCATACATATTATCATGAAGTTACACCATCACAATCGGATAATTTGTTTCACAGTTTCCACTAATAGTTCACATGCGCACTTTTAATACACAAAATCGCACCACTTTTACGTATCAAAATCCGTTTCAAACCATTATTTATTCAAGCACTCCGCCGGCGATCTAGTTCCCGCCAAAATTTTTAAGTTGTCAATTTAAATGGACATGTCGTATTTTGGTACGGTCAGACAAAAAGTACTGAAATTGTGAAATATGTTTTTAGTACTTCTATATCGATCACGCTTAACTATTTTTATTAAACGTCAATTTATTGAAATTAATAGTTACCGTTACAGTGTATTAAATTCTACTGCTGAATATGCATAGTTGCCACGCTTGGCAAGCGAGTTGGCAACTTTTTATTTGTATTGCCAGTTTTTTCGCTGCTGCCCATCTCCTGATTTGTGTTGCCTCTAACGACTTCCACGGGATGATATGGGGTAGTGGATATTTTTACACCGCCACTACACGGTAAGAAATTAATAGTTACTTTATCTACTACCAAAAAATGGTTATAAAAGGGAGCAAAGTGTACTGTAATTTTATTTGATATATGCGGAAGAAGTAAGATAACTGCGGTGATTATAATATGATCTTAAAAAATGCGAATTGCCTGTGAAAACCTTCACGACGTATGAACAAAAGATATGAAAAATACTTACCGTGGTCTCCAAATTCCTCGTCTTGGATGAATGTTATGGCATCTTCAATAGTTCTTGATAGGAATAGATAATTATTTGTCTACTTTTTCTGGTCCTTTTGTAATAAATATCATAAAGTTAACTGTGACAAGGTTCTTGTTCTTTAACAATAGGTCCGGCTTACATTGGTAAAATGTTTTGTTTAATTATGCTCCTTATATTGTATAGTACACTATTGTAAAATAATCGCTTCAATGGGAATGCAAAAAATATTATAAGTTGTGTTTTATTTTGTAATATTTTGAACGTGTATGTTTGCCGTGGATGCGACTTAGCTCGGTTTCGTTTGATCCACTTGCTCCCGTTTGGGCGAAGTCCGAAAAGCTGCAATTTTATTCTTTACTAAAAGAATCCTAACGACTTATTTGGTTTACAGTAGGACGTTTTTACCGTCCGATAGCGTATTGTATCCATGTGTGACGCGGGGCACTCCCTATAACGTTGCCACATTGCTTTAATAGTTCAAACCCCGAAATTTGCTAGTCTGCGCATATTCTATAATTGTTTTTTTGTATATTTTAAATTAATTTTGAAGTTTATATTTTTTTCTTGAATGTTATCTTTTATTCAATGTTAACTCGATTTTTACATGTCTTTTTGATAATATTTTCAATAAAACTGGTCATTTGTGTTTTTGTTACTCTCTTACTTAAAAAAAAAATGCGTTAAATTTAAAGAGAAAATGTATTATATTCTTGGTTATGACTAAAATCATATAAATATTAATAAAATAACAATATATTTTCCTATTAAATCACTTAAAGTCCACTGAGCCCCGCGTCTTGCAGGGCGCCAATATTACTGTATACACAGAATGTGAAAATTCTCATTAACATAACATAATACATATATTTTAATTGACAAACCTGTCGCCATAGTATTCGTAAGAGGTGATGCGTCAACGTTTCCGCTGCCTGATGGTTTGTGAGGGGGGAATTGTTAGGTATTGATAGGGGAGAGGTGGAATCGGCATCCGATGGATGGAAAACTGACGGCGGTGCTAGTATGTAATGCGGCACGCGGCCTTAGCGAAGCGGGTCTAAGCGTGTGTTTTATACTGTCGGAAATTATGATAAAAATTTGTTCTCTGTAAACAAAAAAAATAAAATAAAAAATATAGACATGTTGTGGCGGGGCGGTCGTCGCGTCGCAAGCGTAAACGAACGATCTAAATCACGCTACTGGAGTTTCCGAACGACGCTGCATATACTGTGTGGACACGACAATACGACAATAGATGAAAACAGTCATAATATTACATTACAGGAGTATTTTGAAACTATCAAATGAATCCTAATACTGGAATTAAAAAGAATTATATTTCATTCAAACTAAAAAACACAAAAATAGAACATCATTTATAAATATTGATTAACTAACCTGTGTTACGAGCGACAAGAGTGCGGTGTATGACTTTTATGGCATAGGTTATGCGGGGTTCTTTAACCTGTCGCTGATAGCTTAGCGGCTGGTACATCATGTATAAAATGTTAAATTTGGAATATATTGTCCATTAAACATATTTTTCCATTTTACTGGAAATAAGGCATTCCATCTTAGTCCTCAAGGGTGACAACGTTTGATTCTCCATTTTTACCATCAGGTGGATTGTGTGCTCGTTTGTCACCCTTATTCTATAAAATATTTCATTGAATTTTTCTATGCAGTTTGAGAATAACATTGGATATACGAATACGAAGTTTAATTTATTGTCGTTTCCACACGGTATAGAACCTGTATAGCCCGGAGGGAGATCTCCCGATTTCCGCCTACGGCAAAATTGTTTTTAAGTTTTCTTCACTATAATACGTCAATTAATTGAACGCAATGTAAATATTATTTTGTTCAATTGACAAGTGTTCAAAGCCGCTCGCTACGCTATGGCCGCGTCGCCACCGAGCAAAGCTCTAAGTAACAGTAGGCTATATACATTATTGTTTGTGTACATTGCTGCAATTATTTGTATTTGTTATATTTATGTGTTGTACAGTCGGCGGCGTGTGCGCCGAGCGCTCAGCGTTCGAAACAAACGAAACACAATAGAATAAACAGTTGGACAATACGCCTGTGTTTCATTTCAGTTTTCGTCTTCTCGCAAGAGTGGACGTGGAACAAGTATTTTACTGTGCTAATTCCGAATAGACAAGGACACTGCTACAGGATAGAAAGTGATACTAGTGCGTTTAGTTCCTCTAATTATCATTACGGTAAGTGAAAGGGTTGTGACCTGTGTGTGAGTTACTGTGATTAGACGAGATTGGGGGCGTGGGGACACTGTGTTCTTTTTTTGTCGAACACATCAGTGCACGACAAAGAAGCGAAGTTCGTCCGATTCCGACAGTGACAACCCAACTTTGCACTCCAGTCGAAGATATAAGGGCGCATCATTGAGTTATATGTACTACGTACTAGAGAAGCCATTCCGAACATTGACTATGTTCAACTGAACTGTAGTGCAATCCATACAAACTAAATATTGCGTAAATTGAAGATTTGTGAATTCCATAAAATAATTATTATTACATTTTATTTAGAAATATGTTTGTTTAGATTAAATTAAGATATTTTATATTAAATTCTTATATTTATTTTATATTAATATCTTATTTTATATCAAATTAAAGTCTTCGCGCATGCGCGGGAGTAGTAGTAGGGCATGTAGGTAGGCATAGTAGGACACAATTTTTGTTTGGAATGGCTTCTCTAGTACGTGGTACGTATAATTCGATGGGGCGCATGCTGTCCCTCATCAAGCTTGTTAAATGAAACAATAAATGCCTTCCGTGAGGAGATAAAATCTATGCATAGCCTTTTAAATGAGATGAAGGAGGCGAAGAAAGAGAACTATGTCCAAATAAAAGCAGACGTTAGTGAAATCTAGAGACTATAAAAACTATGGAAGATATAGAAAATAAGTGCACGAAAATAGGCCAACAAGAATATATAGATTATTCAAAAAAGCAAGAAACTGTGCTAAAGGACTTAACACAAAAAAGTGCATATCTGGATATATATAGTAAGTCTAGTTGAACGTTTAAGGTTATTGGAACAAAAAGAGTGATTTAGATATTGAACTGATTAATGTGGAAATGAAAGACGGAGAAAACGTTGTAGAACTGGTGAAGGATATTGCCAAGTAACTTTTTTTTTTATAGGAGAGGGATAAACGAGCATGCGGCTCACCTGATGGTAAGTGACTACTGCCGCCCATGAACAACCGCAACACCATGGGAATTGCAGATGCGTTGCCGGCCTTTTAAAAATGAGTAGGCTCTTTTCTTCAAGGTCCCGAAGTCGTATCGGTCCGGAAAAATCGCTGGTGGTAAACTATTCCACAAGGAAGTTGTGCGAGGAAGAAAACATCTTCTAAATCGCGCAGTGGTGGACCGCCAATCCACAGCCAGACCGCCAATCAACTGAATTTAAACAAATGAGGATATTGTTAAAACTTGAAGAATAGAGGGAGAATACATAAATAATAAACCAAAACCTATAATTGTATCATTACGATCAAGGGAAGCACGTTTTATGTGGATTATAAACGGGGAGGCGGCGGCGATTAATGAACGGATAACTCGCGAAACGCGACAACTAGTTTGGTCCACTAAAGTGCAGCTTATGGATAAGTTTAAGTATATTTGGATACAGAATAGTAAAACATTATTGCGGAAAAACGAGCATGAGAAAAAAGTGGAAAGTTTGGGATGTGAGAGTGATATAAATACAATTATTAAGAATTTGGAAAGTAAAAATACTGAGTAAGTGTACTAATTATTACACGTTTATATGAAGATATTTAATATAAGACATTTGAAAAATTACAACTATGGCAAAGCTTTTTTTTCATAGGAAAGGGTGACAAACGAGCACACAGTCCACGTGATGGTAAGTGGTTGCTGTGACCCATAGACATCTACATCTATTCTTGATAGAAAATGAAAATGCAGATGCGTTGTCACTCGTGAGGACTAAAGCGCGGCGCCCACCTAAGTAACATAACGCGTGATCTGACGCGTGATTTGACGCGTAACTTGTCACTCGCTTCAACATTCAAATAGCTTGTATGTAGTAGCGCCCATTAGCGTGGCGTGACGCCGCATGACCTGACGTGCCATTCAGCTTGCTACTAGTTACGCATTGAAGTGGCGCGTAACACGTAACTTGCAGTGACTTGTCTATACAAAATAAAAGACGACCTAGCTTTTTTTCTTTTCATGAAAGGCCATGTATACAATATGATTTTTCTAGATCCGATTACATTAACAGGAATTCGCAAGATACTTCTTGCAACTTATAGTGACTTGCCTATGCAAAATATAATTCTAATTCCTTCATAGCATTGAACGTACCACCACTTTTCAGTTTTTTTCCTCAAAGCATGTACCCGAAATCTTTTGCTGGCACTTGGAATGTTTGAAATCTGTAGCATAGCAAGGGCATGTTTATCTTCTTCAGACGACATTTTGGCTCGAACTGAATTCTGCGATATGCTATTGTTGCACAGGTTGGCGCAAGCAGTGTCACCCGTGGTCACGTCAGAGTATCGTCAGAATCATGCTACAAACCATGTCGAAATCATGTAGCTTAGGTGGGCGCCGCGGTTAACGCGTGATCTGACGCGTGATTTGACGCGTAACTTGTCACTCGCTTCAACATTCAAAGAGATTGTATGTAGTAGCGCCCATTAGCGTGGCGTGACGCCGCATGACGTGACGTGCCATTCAGCTTGCTACTAGTGACGCATCGAAGTGGCGCGTAACACGAAACTTGTAGTAACTTTTCTATGCAAAATGAAAGACGACCTAGCTTTTTTTCTTTTCATGAAAGGCCATGTATACCTACAATATGATTGTTCTAGATCCGATTACATTAACAGGAACGCGCAAGATGCGTCTTGGCTAGAAATAGCGAAAACTGTCGAAGAATCGGGTAAGTACCTACACCAATATACAATAATAACAATAATGTTTCATACACGGACTATAGTTTGTGGTTTCTTTATTCTAATTTGAGTAGGTACGAATAAAAATGCTTTAACTAGGGATTATTTGTTTTTAATAGTCTCGTTTATCATATCACATATAAAAATCAATGTTTGTTTATTTGTTTGTTTGTTCGTATATTATGCACTGCGATACCGTTCATCTGATTGTGGTAAAACTTTGTCAAGATATATTTATATATTTCAACCGGCAGGAGCTATTGTCGAATTCAGAAATGGTGTATAATTTACTCCACAATACCCGTGCGAAGCCAGAGCGGTTCAATCAGTACAATATAAATATTGACTTGGTATTGGAGCGCATTCAACGAAGTATTTCGTTAGATGATTTGTAACTAGTAGGGCTTTGTTTAGACGTGACGATTCATACTTCTTGTCATTAAGTTGGCCGTAGTTGGAGAAGATCTAACACCATCACGCTTGCGGATGAAGTTATGAAGTACACAAATAGCTTGAATGATTACGTCAATCCTATTTACATCACATTTAATAGGTCGGTTCAATAATTCAAATTTACTAGTTAACATTCCGAATGTACACTCCACTGATTTGCGACCACGTGAAAGACGATGATTAACATCCTTCTTTCATTTGTCAGTTGATTACGAGTATAGGGTTTCATAAAGTTTTTGGTTAGAGCATACGCTTCATCTCCAACATAATAAAAGGGAAAGTTTATTTCCTCACCAGGTAAAGGAGATGGTTCAGGTAAATTTAGATTGCCATGTGCGAGTGCGTTCCCGAAACTGCTTTCTTTTAGTACTCTACCATCACTATTTCGACCTAATTCTCCAATGTCGATACATATGAACATGCTATCGGCGTCCACCACTCCTTGTAAAACTATAGAATAATATCCTTTATAGTTGTAATAAGCAGATCCTGATCTTGGTGGACATTGTATCATAATGTGCTTCCCATCAACTGCTCCGATGCAATTAGGTAGATTCCATAGGTCATAAAAGCGATTTTCTACTTCTATCCATTTATTTGTAGTCGGTATCGGCATGTACTCTGGTTGTAATAGCTCCCAAATCACTTGTGATGTCTCATGAACAATTCTGCGATTGCTTGTCGGACCTCTCAAGAAATAGTATGACAGCGCTTTAAATGAATTGCCTGATGCAAAATACCTGAAAATATAAAAAGCATAACATGATTATTTTCAGTTGCTGATTGCAAAGAAAGATGGAAGAACCTATGAGGTTGCTATACAAGATATTTAAAAAACAACAACAGACCTTCTGGTTCTTCAGCAAAACATGTAAAGCCCTATTAGTTAGCAGATCATCTTCAGTTTTTAGATCGGTACACTAAATCTTGGCAATCAAAAGGCATATTTAATAAAGAAGAGCAAAATACCGAAATACACCAGGAAACACCAAATGAAATAGATGATGAACATGAATTAAGTCGTGAATTTAATAACCCTCCTCCTGCTATTTCTGTAACTAATGAAATAGAAGCCTGTAGCCAGGAAACTGAAAATTTCTCAAGACCAAGTCAAGTAAAAAGGGAAAAAGTATCTTTGAGCGAAGTAAACGCAGCTGCCAAGGAATATTTTCAGTCAAGGCAAAAAATTTCAAAGCACAATGAAAATCAAGATCCCGATTTTGCATTTTTCTATAGCTTCATTCCTGATGTCAAAGATTCATATTTTCGTGACCAAAAAAGAAGATTTAAAATGGGTGTTCATATGGTGTGACATATTACAAGAAAATATATCTCAAGAACATGCAACAATGTCAAATTTTAAATCGTATATGGAGGTTCCAAATGCTACATACATAGCTACTGGTCCGGAGTCACCAATCAGTGTAGTAAATTCAACATCAATTCATCCTATGCATGTATTTCATGAAAATTCATTGACGGAAGGCAATGAAGAACGATCTCAAATATATATTAATAATGACGGTACATTGTCCATTAAGTAAATTAATGAGTGAAGTAATTTGTATTAAGAATCTTAATAATAAATAACGATTTCTACGAAGAGTTTTATTGAGACATAAATTAGTTTCTTACCTTAAAGTGATGAGCAATCTTTCTTCCGGGCTTATTGGTTCGCTGAACTTGGTCCACTGTTTCGTTAAACGAGTTCTTAATTTATTAAGCAAAATATTATAAGTCTCTTTTTCCATTCCATAAAATGTCTGAAACCTGTCTGGGTATAATTCTAATTCCTTCATTACATTGAAAGTACCACCACTTTTCAATTTTTTTTCCAAAAAGGATGTACCCAAAATCTTCTGCTAGCACTTTGAATATTCATAATCTGTAGCAAAGCAAGGGCATGTTCATTCTCTTCAGACGTCATTTTGGCTCAAACTTAATTCTGCTACTTGCTATAGTCGCACAGGTTGGTGCAAGCAGTGTCACCAGTTGTTCCGTCAGAGTATCGTCAGAGTCATGCTACAAGCCATATCGAAATCATGTAGCTTAGGTGGGCGCCGCGGTTAAGATGGAATGCCTCGTTTCCAGTAAAAAGGGTCTGCGGTTCTCTACACTCACTATACGAAACACAGTAGCGTTAAACTGCTATTTTACGCTGGTATTCTGTGAGAGCGTGGTCCTTCCCCGGTCGAGCCGACCCATTCGTGCTACAACAATACTGCTAATATAGCTGCAGCAGGGCAGTACCAAGTACAAGAAACTACTTAGTAAATAACCATAATTCAATTAATTTCATATGTATAAATATTAGTTCGTTAAGAAAAAACTACAACGAACTTACTGTTCTTATAAGTAATTGCTTGACAAACCTAGATGTAATTTGTCTCACAGAGATAAATATCAAAAAGTATGAGGTATATCAATTTGAAATGAAAGGTTATAATTTTTTTTGCGCCCAGAAGCAATTGAAAAGGGCTACCCCCGGAAAACGAGGAGGGAGGTGGTGAATGCTCTAAGCATACCACGACAGCCGGCTGTCGTGGTTATGTGGGACTCACTGCGACTAACCTAACCTAACCTAAGTGCCTACCCACTAAACACCACCTGTGTGACTGGCATTGGCTTATGAGGCCTTTCTGCCGAATCGGAAGCGACCCTCTTTAGGGAAAAGGGGGCGCAAGCGGCGATGAGCCGCTGAGGGGGAGCCTTACTAAGGCAAATTAAGAAGAGTCGGCCTTAGCCGCCAGGAGGCAGTTCAGGTCTGCCGAAAGCTTGTTTGGCGGGTCCGAGAGAGAGTTTCTCGGTGACACCTAAATATTTGGCAGTCGTATGCCAGGGGACAGGGGTCCCTAGCATACGGATTGGTGGAATGCTATTGAGGCGGCGCCGTTTATGATCGAAGTGAACGGCGGAGCTCTTCTCCGGGTTCACATCGATGCGCCATTTTTGGAACCAATCTCCTAAGTCATTAACTGTCTTTTGGATCTTGTTCCGAATGAAAGGTTGTGAGATACCTTTACAGAAGAGAGCAGTGTCGTCTGCGAAGAAGGAGAGCTGAACACCTTTCGACGAGATGTGAATGTCGTTGGTGAACAGGATATACAGGAGAGGGGCAAGCACTGAGCCCCGAGGGACACCGGTTTTGATGGGGCGCTGAGAGCAGAGCGTGCCTTTGTGTCTAAAACGAAAGGTACGATCCTTCATGTAAAAGGCCAGGAGACGAACAAGACGATCAGGGAGACCTATTTTATATAGTTTGTAGATAAGGCCTTCGTGCCAGAATCTATCAAAAGCTTTTGCATTGTCGAAGAAGACCGCGATGGTCTTATGACGACGAGGATAGAAACCGCTGAGAATATATTCCACAATACGGTGAACTTGTTGGTGACAAGAATGTTTCGCTCGGAAACCAAGTTAGTGGGGGATGACAAGAGGGTCACCGTCTGTGGGAAACAGATGGAGCCTCATGTGAGTGAGGATTACTCTTTCGAAGAGTTTGCCCATGGCCTTGAGGAGGCTGATGGGACGATGACTGGAGGGGAGGTTGAGAGGCTTACCTGGCATGGGGATACCAATGACAGTTGCCTCTTTCCACGTAGTGGGAAAGTAACTTAAGATTAAAGCAGGCGTTGAAGATAATAGCCAAAAGGGTTAACACCTGCTCAGGGAAAAGTTTAAGGGCTTAGTTGGAGATGCCATCCGCGCCCGGAGCCTTTTTGGGCTTCATTCCTTTGATGAGGGATGAGATCTCATGATTGGAAACAGTGATAGGGTCAGAGGCTGTGAGGGGTGAGTTCCGTCGGCGGACCTCATCCTCCACTCTCTGGATGTGGGAGGAGTCGGTGGGTTGAGAGCTAGGAGAGCATTGTGCGGCGGAGCATCTAATTTTAATGAATATAATATAGAAAGATAAATAGAAGAACATAAGTGATTAAAGGAAAAAAAAAAGAATGACGACAGGTAGTAACTTAAGAGGAAAGGTAATAAAGTTTTAATTTATTTTTAAATAAAGGAAGAGATTTAGATTCTTTAATATGTAAGGAGAGAGAATTCCATAGTCTTATAGCTGTAACCGTAAAAGAATTAGAATAGAAGGAAGAGGAACGTCTAGGAGTACTTAGAAGCAAACATAGGTTACAAACAAACATAGGTTATTGACTAGAAAAAAATACTATCGAGTTATATAACATATTTTATAACATACAGTCTCCACATTACTGAAACGTGTTATATAACATGTTATATTATATAATATGTACGCACCATAAGACTTATTAAATAACAATACCGGATCTTTTACTCCTCCTCTTGTTGTTCTTGATGTACCTACAAGACACGGTTGAACACGACATATTTTCACTTTTACAAATATTTACTCGTAATTTTTAGTTAAACACTGTTTGTTACGATTTTGTGATAATTGTATAAACTCTATCGCAGTGTTTTGACAGACTAGTCGGTCACGAACTGACACGATTTAGACAGTGCGGCATTTTTAAAACTTATAAGAAATATCTCTTACTCGTAGCTAGGCTCCGTGGAATAGACAAAGGATACATGATCACAAGTTATATATACAGTTTTATACCTGTATAATAAGAGTGGTAACGTCTTATGCCTTCATGCAGTACGAGGCATGATACTTTATCCAAGGGATATACATAGATAATAGTAGATAAATAGTGAACAGTGACACCCCTCGGTAAATGTCAAAACTAAATCTAACTAAATTCTATTTCTTACTTATACCTATATATTTAATTATGTCAAATGTAAATAAAATTTCATAAACGCTATGTATAAAGGAAATAAACAAGACATGTTAAAAATAAAGATTTTGTCTAATTTTAATGATTTCCTTACTTATTTATTATTAGCTTTGAATTTCTACACATTTATATTAGGTCCTTACATATGAATAAAAAATCGCGTTTTGTACGGGAGTAATATAAAATATTTTTTTTTTGTAAACTATATTTAATTAATCAAAGTATGCACCGTTGTTATCTATGCAGTTTTGCTATCTCGTAGGTAGTTCATTGATCCCTTTACTAAAAAAACCATGGGGACGAGAATGAATAAACTCTTTGAAGGCGGTTTGGACTGCCGCATCGGAGTTGAATTTTTTTCCTTGTAAGAAGTTGGCCAAATTCCGGAAAAAATGGTAATCTGTTGGAGCAAGGTCCGGGGAGTATGGTGGATATCGCAGACATTTCAATTGTAGCTCATCTAACTTAGTGGTTGTTTCTTCTGCAGTGTGGGGTCTTGCGTTGTCGTGAAGCAGCAATGGCTTAGAGCGATTGACCAATCTCGCTTGTTTAGCAGGTAGTTTTTCCTTTATGGTTTACAGTAGCTGTCAGGAAATATCTGCCGTAATCGTTTGGCCAGATTTTAGAAAGCTGTAGTGAACGACACCGGCGCTAGTCCACCAAACACTCACAAGTAACTTTTTCTGAGTCAATTTTTGTTTAGGACAGGATTTGGTTGGGAAGACCCTACCAAATCCTGCCCTAAACAAAAATTGACATTTTGACATTGAAGACAGGGTTCAGCCATTGCGACGAGCGCTTCCGATTATCGTACAGTATCCACTTTTCATCGCAAGCAATGATTCGATTTAAAATGCCTTCATTATTGTGTCGGTTGAGCAAAGTAACACAGCAGTCGACGCGTGTTTGCAAGTTCGATTCACTCAATTCATGAGGTACCCATCGTTCAAGTTTTTTTACTTTCCCGATTTGCTTCAAGTGGATTAATACAGTTTTATCACTTACCCCGAAGCCTGCAGCTATCTCTGAAGTGCTTTGTGATGGATCCGCTTCCACAATAGCCTTTAATTGTTCATTTTCCACTTTGGTCTCCGGTTGTCCACGAGTTTGGTTCTTAAAGTCGAAATTTCCAAAACGAAAATGTTGAAACCAAAAACGTAACGTGCTTTCTTTTGTGGCACCAGCGCCGTACACATCATTAATCCTTCGAGCTGTTCTGCAGCACTAGTGCCATGGTAGAACTTGTACTCGTAAATATACCGATATTTCATGTTTTCCATTGCGCGGTAATAAGCGGCGCCAAAGAAAAAAATAACGAGGAAAAAACAAATGAAAGACGGTTTTCATAATTTAAAATTAAACATTTTGTACAGCCGACTTCAATATAAGTTATTAAGAATAACTCAAAAACTATTGGCCTGACCTTGATCAAATTCATATGGGACCACAGGAGAAATACCAGCTTTCAAATAAAAAAGAATCATCGAAATCGGTTAACCCAGTAAAAAGTTATGAGGTAACACACATAAAAAAAACAGTCGAATTGAGTACCGTCTCCTTTTTGGAAATCGGCAGAAAACTCAAATGTACCCGCTCAATGAATTTATAAATTTGAATTTGGAATTCTTAACCAAAGAGGAGATATTTCAGATCAAAGTGGTCAGCACGACAAAACGCTAATTTCATATGTAAAAACCTATTAAAAGATAAGAGGATTGATTGAGACTTTACTCTGACCCCCGAAACGTAGACCGACTTCATCTACGTCCTTCGCACATTGAGTTACATGTACCTACTACGTACTAGAGAAGCCATTACAAACAAAAATTGTGTCCTACTCTATGTCTTTGCGCATGCGCGGGAGTAGTAGTCGCGCATGGGCGAAGACTTTAATTTGATATAAAATAAGATATTTATATAAAATAAATATAAGAATTTAATATAAAATATCTTAATTTAATCTAAACAAACATGTTATATTTCTAACTAAAATGTAATAATAATTATTTTATGGAATTCACAAATCT